AAGCGGGCCGTGTGTCCCTGGCCTCGTCTTGTCGCTGCGTGTGAACACTGGCTGGGCAGCCCTGGGACACACTTACTGCCGCACTGAGGCCCTCGGCTGCAGCCTGTGGCCCTTCCCCTGAGTCGGGGCTGCTTTCCCTCCGATCCCCGGCTGGATTCCCAGCCACCGGCCCAGCCTCTCTGGGAGGCCAGCAAAGATCTGGGTCCCCCCTCACCGCCCCCACATCATGCAGAGTCACAGCGTGTTTGGGTTTGTCCCTGCCCTGCCCCCAAACCCCACGAGTCTGTCCCCTCTCAGGTTCTCAGATGGGGAGCTGAGCAAAGGTTTTTACGCTTTCAAGTATTTTCAGCTCTGCAGCCCAGCATAGGGTCCGTCTCTGGCTGGGTCAGTGAGACGCTGCTGTGTCCATCCCTTGCCCCTCACCTTCCTCTGCCTCTTAGGCTGAAGAGCTGGATGTATCCGTCCCATTCCCAGCTTGTCGGGGTGACTCCGGTTCCTAAGCCTTATCCTCTCCTTTCCTGAGGTTCCGACCACTCTCCGGCTCCTCTTCCCTTTAAGGAATTTCCTCGCACAGCTGTGGGAGCTGACAGGCCCAATATCTGCAGGGCAGGCTGGAAATCCACACAACAGCTGATGTTGCCGTGGGTCTGCATTCCCCAGGGCAGCAGGTGACACCAGGCACAGGGTCTGTTTGAGGTCTGGAGGAGAATCCCTTCTTCCGGAAACCTCACACTGTGCTCTTAAGGCCTTCACCTGATTGGATGAGACTCCGCGCCCCTCCCTGGGGAGTAATCTGCTTTACTCGAAATCCACTGATTTATGTTCATCTTTACTCAAAATGTACTACTTTAAATGTTAATCACATCTAAACACAATACCTCCACAGCAACGTCTAAACTGGTGTTTGACGGGCACCTGGGCACCACAGCCCAGCCAAACTGACACATAGTATCAGTCACATGTATTTATTTAATGTTTTTACAAGGAGGCTGTCCCCTCCTACTTTAGTTTGTGAGCTGAGCAGCAAACACCAAGATCGCTGCAGACATGCCAGAAGCTTACACGGGAAGGGTGTAGCAGGAGGCCCGCAGCAGGTCTGACGCCCGGGAAGGACAGAGGAAGGCGGGCGTGTGGGTGTGACAGGCCTCTGGCTGTGGCACATCTCCGAGGAGAGGCTGGCGGGCAGTTGGGGAGTCCGTAAGCCAAAGTCGCCCACTGGGGGAGTCTCATCTTCTGCTAACATGGGCTTGCCTTTTTACCCCCACACTGCCAGACACCTGGCTGGGAATGGCCTGGAGGTAGCATGGTTTCCGAGCACAGAGGGGCCGAGAGGGGGGCAACAATTTGTTCCTCCAGCCAGTCATGCAGGAGGTGGCGGGGTATTTCCAAGGCTGCCTCACCTCCCATTGACAGAGTTAACTCCACAAGGAGAGAGCTACATTCAGGCACCTTCCTAGTACAAGCATTTAGAAGAATCCCCTGTGTAGAAATAGATCAAGCTTCAGTAGAGCTAGAAAATGCTGATGACGATGGAGTTCCACAAAGACATTTTTAGCAGGGAAGACATTTTTTTTAAAGTTAAAAGAAAATAACCTTCAAATAAATGTTTGTAGCTGTATGTATGAGGAACCTGTCTGTGAAAGATCAAAGTGTAAACCAGGACAGAAAGATTTCATACTGTCGGATTTTGTTCTGTGTTTTCTTGTTGGTTAAATTTATGTCCTTGAGCAATGGAAAGGAGGGGAATATTTCCTATTCCTTTATGGAGATGGGTGCTGTCTAAATGTCCAGATGAAATGGGGTCTGTAGTCACTGAAGGGATACAATGCATATATTTAGATTCAACTCTTGTCTGTGATGCTTCCTTGTAACTATCTGATCAATATAAAGAAATGTGCAGCTAAGGTAATGAGAAAAAATGAATTTGTCAGAAAATTATACTGCATTCATGTAAGTTAACAAGTAGGTATTTTACTTAGAACTCAAGAGACTTTAGTTTGGTAAGCAATTACATAATGGAGTTGAAGCTCCATGCATTTATTTGCTTATACTTTCTGGAACATTTATAAAGGCTGCAAAATGATTTAAGATATTATTCTGATAATACTTCCTACGAGCATTATAAACCAAAACATAAAACCTGAAGAAAACATTCAAAACACTCATATCCTGTCAAACCTATGGAAATGTAAGAACAATATATTTTCTGGAGTCAATCCCACTTTTATTTCTTCGCCAGTCTTAAGGGGAAGAGGTATTATTTGGGCCCATAAATAGACTCACCTTTAGGAACTACTGAAAGCCAACCACCCCATAAGGTCATACATCATCACTGTGTGTGTGTGTGTGTGCGCGCGCACATGCCCGCTCATGTGTATACACACATATGAAGGCACAGACAAGGGACACATGGAGATCAGGCTGCACATTCCTCCCCCCACAGCGCTCCTCACCACTTCCCTCATTTCTTCACACAGACAGTTGTCATGCTCTCTGTCTTATGTGAAGTCCCAATTGTACTGATACATCTAAAGCTGGGATGTCCTAGGGTCAGTTTGAAACCGATTCTTTAGAAGAGACCCATCAACCAGACAGACCCCTGCAACATGCCCTGAGGTCATATCATATCTGAGAAAAGTACAATCCCTGAGCTCAACCTTCCAATGTTTGGGTACTTAAATCTGTTAGTAGTACACGAGACGCCTAGACAACACAGATGTGTGACCATTGCAACTGTACAACCACTGGTGAAAACCACACTTGAGCTGTAAAATGACAACAACAATCATAACAACAAAGGGAAATAGTGTTCTATCCATATCATGCAAGACATGAATGGCCTCAAGTGTGAACCCCGCTTCTCATCTATTTTATTTTGCTATTTCCATTGGGAAAATTTCCGAAGCAGTTAAATGTGAGCCTGCAGTTAAGGAAGCCCAAGATCTTCTCATGGTATTCAATGAACATCTCCCTCATGTATGTGAAATGTGAGTTTCACATGAAATTAAAAGAGGGGGAGGATATCACATTGTGTATACTCTGTAACTCCCACTAACATCACTGTGACGTGCTTATGATGCAGTTAGCATGGCCACTGTTGCAAAGACTGTGGCATTTTATTGACTAGAAATGCCGTTCTCAGTCAGTTTAGCTATTGGAGAAAATCTAAACTGATTTGTTAATGAGTTCTGCTGATATTGCAAACCTCTTACATTAAAGAGAGTTATCAGATTCCATTTGTGCTGTGTATTAAGCATGTCCGTGGTGATGTCTTATTTCCATACATGCATACCTAAAATTTTTCATTAATACTAAAGTTAGCAGCAATTTCATGCCAACAGTCCCAAAGAATTTGCTTTCCCAGTATTGACTGTATCAACCCCTTTCTGTGTTTCTCTACACTTCTGCAGTCCTTTCCACTCTTCTGAAAAAAAAACTGAAATGAGCCACATGGTCTTGACTTCAAGTCCATCCTCTTTTCAGCCACTTGGATTCCTCTTCATCCCCACGGCCCCACACAGGCTCTCCCCAGGCTCCCAGCAGCCTTGCGGCCCCATCCTTCCCCGTATTGATTAGAAATGATAATTAAGTTACATGCTGTTTCCCCCTGCATTTTAAATGACTATCAATCAACAAATAGTGAGCCTAATATTATTATATGAGAGGACACCTTTTATTGGAAGATACTAAACTCATCTGGAAGATACCAAAGGGCCAAAACCACAGGACCCAGGCACTGCTCTCTTTCCTTCCTGGACGGCTGACTTCACCGGATCCAGCGCCAGATCCTGAGGCCCGGGAGCCAGGGCATCACCAGAGCACAGGAGCCAGGGCTTCGGAGCCTCCGCCTGGGTGACCTGAGCAGGCGCACCTGTGCTGAGATTTGTGTGAATGCGACACAATTCCGCTGGCCGAGGCCACTGAGATTCACGATGGTCGGTTACAGCAGTTGCCCTATGCTGACTAAGACGTAAATTTGAACCTGGAATGCAGAAAGAGAGGAAGGAAGGAGGGAAGGGACGGAGGGCATAAAATCCCAAATAGGAGACAGCTCCATGATGGGTGGCACAAGGAGAAACCTGACAGAGGACGTGTGCTGGGCAAACGTGTATGAACCCTGACGCCTGCAACAGGTTGGGAAGCAGACCACGGTTCTGCTGAGTCAGCCTGAGCAGAAATAACTGGAAAGATCGGAGTCCTACTGTCTGGGGCTATTAGTGGACACATTTATCAAGGTGCTACCAGAAAAAATTCAGTTGAAGAGAAAATCAGAACACCAGGAGTCCAGTACACTGAGGCCTTAAAGGATTATAGTGCTTCTAATCCCAAACAGTCAGAAATGGGACGGAGAAGGTCTCTGAGTGACTCCAGGAGCCCAGGCCCCGGGCGCCCAGGACAGACGGGGTAGGCATGGTGGCCTCAGCCATCTCAGGGTGGCTGTGGTCATGCTGAGATCGAGTAACGAGGGGCGACGAGGCAAGGAAATTGGAAAACTGGAAAAGGAAGGGCTCAGCAATAATTTTGGGGTACAGTTACTGGTTCTAGGAACTGGCCGGAGCAAACAGACTGAACCACGGTGTAAAGAGAATGAGCAGTTAAGACATAAACACGCAGCTGTTTTCCCAGTTTCTCAGGAGCAGAAAGCAGGTGGGAAAGTTTCTAGCACCCTACAGGCCGCCCTCCCCGCAGCGTCAGCCGCAGCCGAGCTAACCGGGCAAGAGCCATCTGCTGGAGGGGGGCAGGAAACCTGGGGAGCCATGCACACGCTTTCCCCGGACGACGGCAGGACCGACTGCCAGGAGGGCAGAGTGCCAGCCTTGGCGTGCCAGCCCTGCTTCCACCAGCTGCCAGGGCGGCAGCAGCTCCCCTCCCGCGCACCCTCACCTGGAGGTCTGCAAGAACGCCTGAAAAGAGCGGTCTTTACCTCAAAACATAGAATATGACATTCCGGAGGCTCCGTGACCCATGCGCAGAGCACCGCCCTCCACGCGCTCACTTACCAGGACCAGGTGCTCCCCGGGCGCTCTGTGCAGCACCTGCAGCGCGTGCCACCTCCACACAGGAGCTGCAGATCGCAAAGTGTGCACACCTGGGCTGGGAAATGCCCCACGGAAGGTCGCTGTCGGGTGGAGAATCTGGAGGAGGTAGCACAAGAGGTCTGAGCAGCTAACCAGAGTCAACATGAGGGACGCCAAAGAGAAGGGCAAAAATACAGGACTCAGCGCTGGCGTCCCCAGACGGAACTCGCAGGTCAGGACAGGCATCCTCCCCACCCCAGCAGAGGCACCGGGCTGACCCAGCCCGGGTTCTCCTGCTCAGCCTATGTTCAAGGCTGTGTGTGTGAAACTGCCCCCTGGCCGCCAACTGCACGTCCACAGCTCTGTGCTGTCATTTCCCTTACAATATTGCAACATAAACTTGAATATGCGTGGGTATAAGTCAGCTCTAATTTACACCTGGAAGAGGACCCTGGACATCTGAAATGTCTTCATTAGGAAGAGCCTCGTGGGACTGTGCTTTCCGCAGAGGCTGACACTGGCTTTGGTGCATAGCTGCCTCGGCGGTCAGGTTGTCAGGCAGAGGCCCTTGACACAAAAAACCAGAGCTTTGTGATTTTGATTTATCTGTTCTCTCTCCACAAAGTCTGGCTTTTAAAACTATTTTCTCACTGGACAAAACAAGTCATCTTTGAGACTCTGAGAGCCCATTCACGATGTCAAAAGCAGAACACTATTTTTCCTTCTCTTTGCATGTTGAGTGTAATAAATCCTAAATCTCCTCGAGGCACATGGGTTCCCCCGGCCCAACAGAGGTTACAAACAGGGAAATGCAAACGAGAAAGCAGTCGTCTCAGGACGCATCACCCCTGCTCCACCGCTGCCGCCCGATCCTTCCTTCCTCCAGTTTACCTTCTTGAGTTAGTTTTTCCAGTTTACTGGTGCCCAGCTATGCTTCTCTGTTGCTCTGAAATTGCTGCCACCAAATGTCCCGAGGGGATGCTCATCGCTAAAGCCTGTGGACCCTGTGGCGGTCCAAATGTGTGCCCTTCCACACAGGCAACCTCAAGTCTCAGGCACTGAAGGCAGCCACAGCCCTTAGATTCCCAGCTTCCCAGTCCAGTGGGGAAATGGCTCTGCTCCGCAGTCACCAGGGACCCGGCACCAGCCACGCTCACCCTCCGAGGTCAGCACAGACTGGGACACAGGCCGTAGGGTGACTAGGGGCATGACCTGGGGCCAGGTGGGCATGCCTGGCCTCGATGGCCGGTCTCCTGCTCTGCTGTTGTGGGGCTGGGAGTCTGGCTGAGGCCAGGAGGCACGGTCGCCATGGAGCCCCCAGCCCTGTGGCTGAGTCTGTCCACCTCTGCCGAGACACTCTCCCCTCCTGGCTCCGGAGGCCCCATGCCTCATAGTCTCCCTGCATCCTCTCTGGAAGCTTTCTCTGAGCCTCTTCCTCCCAGGCCATGGCAGTAAGGAAGTGCTTCATGGCCAGCCCTCTCCTGAGCAACCAGAGACCCGGGCCTCTGCTCGGCCTGGGCCTCCACTCAGCCCTGGCCTCGTTCTGGGGGTGCTGCCTGCTGCGTGCCCTTAGCGCGTGGATCCCGCCCATGCTGGCCTGCAGGCTAGCCTGCTCAGCACCAGGCTCCTCTGCTCTCCCCTTCACTCTGCGTTATGCTCCTGGCTGCAAAGGCCTGACGGTCACCGGCGTCCCCTCCCCTAGTTCTCTGTGTGACCTCCTGTCCCCTAGCCTCCCGCCAGGAAACCATCACCCCTGGCCTGGGTGCCTTGTCTCCCCATAGGGATGCCTGGCTCCGGTCCCCTAGGGAGTGGCCACCCAGCAGACACCCGGCCGCACCTCCCCACGCTGCTCGGGTCTGTGGAATGGCTCTGACTCGCCTTGTCCTCCCCGTGCCAGCAGAGCGGATCTATGCTTGGCCACAGCACCCTCTTCCTCGCCAGGTTGTGGCTGTTCTGAAAGTGGGGCACCCAGGGCCCTGCCCCTCCTGCTTCCGGTCCTGAGTCCTGTTCACACCGGGCGCCCCCCCTCCCCAGGGCTGCATTCAGGCCTCCGCTCCGGGGTTGCCTGCAGACCATCCAGCGCTGGGCAAGTGTCTGAGAGCGGCCCCTACATGCCTCCCCTTCCGGGCGGGAAGACAGCAGGGCTCAGCACACGGAAGGGAATACGTGAGCAAATCACAGCAAGAAAGGAGGGGTGGACTGAAGACGGGGGAGAAAGAACTCAGAATTAATAACCTGGGGCACATGCTGGTATAGTAAATCCAGATTATGGTGAAAATCAACATAATTCTGAACTACAAATCCTCCAGTAAGTAAACTTACAAATAAATTATGTGTAATTAGCATTAAAGAGCTTTGTCGGATAGTCTTGGGAATGCTCTTAAAGTGTATCTGAGCTCCAAATTCATTACTTCTGGATTATCTTTAAATGAAGAGACCCTCAAATGTCCAGGAATAAAGGCCTGCAATAGCAGCTGCACCAAATTGGTATTTAGCTCTTCCACTGAAAGCTGTTTTCTTAACACATGATTATCCATTTCATCAGTACTTGAACAGTATCTGTTTTTTGTCATAATGGTGGCTACAGTGAGCAAGTGTTATTTTTTAATTCTATGAAATGATGTAGAATAAAAATAATTTTAAAGCTCATTTTCTTCTTTTTTCTTCAAATAAACTTGGGGGTAACAATCTGGCTTGTGTAAACTTACTCTGGTTTGCCTGCATTATGAGAGAGAGACCACATTTGAACCACAGAACGCATCACAGCTGGCAGGAGCATTGTACGTCACAGGGGCAAGGCCTTGTTTCTCTCAGGAGGAATTTCGCCTGACACCGTAGCCCTGTGAGTTAAAGAGAGCAGGGATTCCTGGCCCATTTTACAGATGAGAACACTACGCAAGAGGAAAGACAAGAGTGATTTATTTACTGGACAAGGCTCACAGGCAAGACGAGGGCCTAGGGGTCTGGGCATCCTCCCTGGGGATTCTCCCCGACTCCCCCACAGCTCTCTCCTCCCTGCAAGGGCATGAGGCTTATGCTCAGAGAGACCCAGCGGTCAAGTTTATGGTATAACTGGACAGGTATCTAGGAAAGACCACATCACCCACCTAGTAACACCTCCATCAATTAGGAAATGTCACACCAAGTCAAAATAGGGCCACTGGGTATAGTGGTCAAGCCTACCCACCGTATGTCTCACTACCCATTTGTCCCTTACTAGATTGGAACGGAGAGGACAGAAACCACAAAGTGCCCTTTTGTCGTCCCCCTTTCCCTGAAGGAGTGGCATAAAAAGGGGGCAGCCTCTGTGCATAAATAAAAATGCCAGGAAGCTATCAACAGATGAATGATATTTAGATAGATAGATAGGTAGATAGATACATGGATGAACAGATGTTGGTGAGGATTTGGCTGGTTCTGTGGAAAGCTGGGGCCTGGACCAGCCGTGTGCAGCTAAACCAAAGGTCATGGGTGGAGGTATGCATAATTGGCTAACAAGTGGTTGGCGTTTGGGGGGGACGAAGGTTACAGGAGGCATTGGCACCTAAGAGCAGCTAAGAGAAGGTAAGTGGGTATTGGTTTACACACTTACAGAGGGCTGCCCCGTGTGCTCAAGGGGGCCCAATCATGCCCTGGATTCTTATCCTCCAGGCGTCTCCATTTCAAGGTAGCTGGGACGTTATTGTCCCACATGTCAACAGCCCCTGGTGAGTCCATGTATATTTTACTGCAGTGATATCATGAAGCTCTATTAGGCCGCAGCTACAAACATTTTTCTTATCGTTTGTTCCTTCTGTTCATCTAATTGACATATTGTATTTGGTTCCGTATTATATTCGGTGCTTTACGGCAAAATGCCCACATTTCTCATGCAGCTACCCCAAGCTGTTTCTTGAGAGCAAAAGACAAAGATTATGACCCTTTTTATGAGAAGAGGAACAGTATCCCAAGTCTTTCCGAATCTGTGTCCATTGCCGTACGCCTGGCTCACTGGCCAGAGGGACTTCAGAGCTGATCGGGATGCGGATCTACAAAATAAGAATTTGGGAGGACAGAGAGCAAATCTGTCTTCGTGAAGTTCGTAGTGGATCCTCCCTAGTAGAAGTGGATAACAAGACTATTTTCACAAAGACAGAAACACAGTTTAAGCAACAGCTATAGAATTAAGCTATTTCAAAATTCACTTTTTTGAAATTCAGATCCTGCATCATGAAATCATTGAATTTCCAAGCTATAAGAATCCAAGAGATGCCATCTAGTTTATTTCGGTCTATCAATCCAACAGTCAAGTACCGGCCGAAAGCTTTATTAGTTTAAGACAATCTAAGGGAAGAAAAAGCATCTTAACAAATGACTGATAAAATATGAGGGCCACCCCAGCGGCCATGAGCGGCTCCCCGATTTCAAGGAGCCGGATACCCTCGAGATTCCTGCTGCCCTTCTCACCTCCTGACAGACCTTGTGTGAGCTTCCCTCCGCAAGATGCCTCGGCCAGGCCAGCCTGTCGATGTCTGATACTTTCCTGACACATAATCGTTGCCAGGGGGAGCTGAAGTTAAGTGCAGAAGGCACCCTGGAGATCCAGGTATGAGCGCCGCTGCACAGGTCATGGAATTTGGAGGCGCAGAAGCGACCTTCCCAGGGCCTACCTGGCCATGCTCAGAGGTGAAGCCCTAGGAATGAGGGTTTGGTTTCTGCCACTCAAATTCTGTATTCTTCTTTTCTGGGCACAAAAGAGCAGCTGCTTCTTTCTCCTACTCTGTCGCTGTCCTCTCTCTGTGACCCCTCTCCCACGAAGCCCGTGCTCTCATTCCGTAAACGGCAGCTAACATACAGGCATGTGGGGCCGGCATCCTCCTCTATGGTCCAGCACTGGCTGTTAGGTTAGCCTGTCTAATGGTAGATTTAATGGCAGGTTAGTGGCCATTAACCTCCTATTGTTTTGCAATTCTATATCTTTATATGTTTTCCCTATTTTGAAGTTATAGAATTAGATGGATACACATTTAAAATTTGTGTATCTTCTTAGCGAAGCAATCCATCAACACTACAACTGATTTTTATATTTTATATTTATATTTCATATAAATTTATCTTTATATTTAAAATGTTCTCCC